TTGGGATTCTCTCTCCCTCTCTCTCTGCCCCTCCCCTGCTCACTAGTATGCCCTCTTGCTCTCAAAAGAGATGAATAAATTAAAAAAAAATAATGTTGATATTTTTAGTGCCCATTACTTTCCATGATTAAAAAATATTAATAGCCAGCATTAAGAAAATAAAGTGATAAATGTACTAATTTTTTTAAAGTTGAAATATGACTCACATACCATAAAATCATTGTCTTAAAATACATAGTTCAGTGTATTTTTTAGTATATTCAAACTAAATTGTTGTGAAACCATCAAACAATTTTAGAACATTTTTATCACTCCAAAAAAAAAAAACAAAACACACCATACCTATCAGCAGTCACACCCCAGTACTCTTATTCCCTCTCCTCTGCCCCTAACAACTACTAATCTGTTTTCTGTCTCTATAGATTTGCCAATTCTGGGCATTTAGTATAAATGGAAATCATACAATATGTGGTCTTTTGTGACTGGCTTTTTTCACTCAGCATTATGTGATTTCAAGGTTCCATCATGCTATAGCATTTATCAGTACTTCGTTCTTCTTTATGACTGGACATACCACTTTTGTTATCCATTCATCACTTGATGGAAATTTGGATTGTTTCTACCCTTTAATCCTGCTGCTATGAACATTCATATACAAGTTCTTGTGTCGGCATACGTTTTTATTTCTTTTGGGTATGAGCTGGGTCATGAGGTAACTTTTTGCATAACTTTTTGAGGAACTGCTAGACTATTATCCAAAGTGGCTGCATCATTTCACATTCTTACCAGCAATGTGTGAGGGTTCCAGTTTCTCCATATCCTTACCAATGTTTGTTATTATTATCTTTCTGTATACTAGCCATCCTAGTGGGAGTGAGGTGGTATCTCATTGTGGTATTGATTTGCATTTCTCTAATGAATAATGATGTTGAACATCATGTGCTTACTGGCCATTGTATATCTTTTTGAGAGGGACATCTATTCAAATCCTTTGCTCATCTGTAGTTGGGTTGTCTTTTTATTGTTGATTTTTAGAGTTCTTTATATATTCTGGATACAAGTCCCTTATCAGACACATGATTTGGAAATATTTTCACCCATTCTGTAAGTTTCCTTTCATCTGATATTGCTTTTTGAAGCATTGTCATTTCCAACTTGATTTTGTGACCCCTCAAAAGTGTCTTATTATGTTGCAAGGGTTAATATGAGTTTCAAAATGAAGAAAAGTAATTTGCATAGTGAAAACGTTATATGTGTATGTATCACAAAATAAAGATTCCCAGCCAAATTAAAGCTTATTGAACTTCAGCCAAGCACCCCTGTCCTGGTGCTTTAATAAAACCACCTTATTACACCTAAAAAAAAAAAAAACTTATTGAACTTCAAAACAATGTATTCTTGTAAATGAGTATTTTTTTCTCCAATGAGTGATGAGTGATTTTTGTCATCCAAACACAGCTGATTATATTTCTGATGGTTTTTTTTTTTTTTTTTTTTTTTTTTTTTTTTTTTTTTTTTTTGCTTTCCAAATCCAGCAACTTCTGAAGGATGTTTCTTCAGTGGCATATTATAGATCTATATTTCCTGTCAGTTTAAAAATCATATTTGCTCTTCTGGATAATAGTGATCCTAAGGGAGCATATGCCAAATAGTAAAGTGTTTGTTTATTTTTGCTATCCATGTAAATTAATAGTTGTGCCAAGGTTGTATGATCTATGCTATAAAACTGTCGATTTATTCTCTGGAATAGTTTAAAAATATTTATTATTTCTGCTCATTCGTTGAATAGGTAGAGATAGGAGCCATGAATATGTGGTAAAATTTATACAGTGTTACGGTATCTAGAGTGAAAAATAATAGTGAGAGATCCACCAAAGTGATCCTTCTTGTTAGCCACAGCATGACTATTTTAAAAGAGAATATTAATATTTATTAATCATTTTTGCAACTTAAGCAGAAATGTGTTAATGTTTACAATAGATGTTCTTTATAACAGGAGGACATGAACCTTAATGAAGAACGGAAAGCTCCTTTACGAAACAAAGATTTTACCACCAAGCGTGAGATGGTTGTCCAGTATATTTCTGCTACTGCCAAATCTGTAAGTAGTGGCACTTTCCTGGTGTTCCCGTAATGAGGCCAGCATTATCTGCTTAAAAAGAAACCAACCCCAGGTCTTCAAGTTCTTGCCTCAGTATACTCTATATATAGACTCTTCAGAAAAACCTTATACATGTATTTTTACACATTTAGTATATGCCCTGTTTCAAAATTTTTTATAATTTGAGAGACTTCCATTATTTAAGACAATGCAGACCAAGGATAGAAGGCTGTGAGTTAATCCAGTGACTTTTGGGGCAGTGGTTTTATGCACTTACTTAAAATTGAGAGCAATTTGTAGGTGTTCCACTAAATATACTGTTGGTTATATGAAAATTTTGAGGGAGAAGACACAAACATAGTCTATTCATGAGTTTTAACTAAGTTTACATTAAAGTGTCATGTCTGGTTTCTCCCTGCAGGAAATTTTGATCAATATTTTTAATAATGCTGTTTTAGTTTTTTTTCATTATTTTATGTGATGCTAATTATTTTATGTGATGCTATCTATATTAACTACCTCATAATTGTTATTGTACAGCTTAGTTTAATATAAAAGAGGGTGCTTAATTGGAGCTTTAATCACATCTCTGAGTTTGAAGACTTGAAAGTAGAGTTATTTGGAAAGACTTGTTTTCTTCAGGAAAAACATTAGTGTTTTAATGGAATATGTGGCTTTGTTCTACTTCCTAAGGTGCTTCCGAAAATAGACTTCAGGTTTGATTTCTTTTTGTAAGAAAATAATGTATTTTTGAAATGGTGAAACGTATCTTTTACATTTCTATAAGTAAAAAGCTTTATACAACTAGAGGTCATAAAATCACTGTGTATATATGCACACACACCTATACCACATATTATACACAATGATTTTATGTATGTGGTATGTATATTATGTGGATATATATAAATAATACACACACATACATTTACACTTAAAAATACATATTTTGAGTTTAAGAAATTGACCAGTGAAGAAAATAGTTCCTCATTGGAAAGTATGTTGTAAAGTTATTTGGCTATCCTGTTACTGCTATTTCAGTGCAGTAATTGCAGTGGCAATTACTGATGCATTTTGCTCTGAATTCTACAATTGTATTGATTCCATGTTGTAGTTTAAGCAAGCTAAATCTGAATGCTGCTCTACCAGAGCAGAGCAACAGCATGTTTTTTAATTTGCTTCTGGTATCCAAGGGCAGAAATATGTTTCAAGTGATAAGTGAAATTTGCCATGAGCATTGTTTTCAATAGAATTAGGTGATGCATAGGGTTTTACTTTGAAATTCTGATGAATCTCTTCTCATTTTTGTACTCACGTTATTGTTCACAGTAAAATGCTTTAGGAAATCCAGGGTGCACATTTCGTGATATATTTTTAAACACCTAAAGGCAAATACACTAGTAAATCTATGTAACTAAATCTGAGTGCAAGGTACAGATGATAATACATGAATAATCGTGTGTTTTTAATGATAAAATTTTGTTAGTGTCTCTGGATCATTTGTTGTTTTTATTTAAGTGGGACTGAATATAATGAAGATTATATGAAGCTCTTATTCCTTAACCTTTTGATTTTTACTCTATGTGGAACTTGATTTCATTTTTTCCCATATTGTTTCCTCTTTAACTGGCCAAAGACAGGTACACTTTAGGTTATATACTCATTTTTCACATCAAAATGCTAAAATTTGGGTAAATGTTAGATAAGCTGTCTTGAATTGCTTTATTTGAAAGATGGAAATTGAATGTTTCTCAAAAGACACGAACATTCTTTATAAGACATTAGCCTCAAAATCAGTACTATAAGTATTTAGTATATGACCCTTATTTGTTTAATTGAACATACATATGAGCACCTGCCATCATATAGACTTTCACTAGAGTTTCAAGGTTATACATTTCATTTCCTAATATTTTTTGTGGGCCAAATATTATGATGAAAGAAAGCCTATTGATAAACATGTTTTAAAGCTTTCTCACCTTGGGGAGATGTCAATTAGTACTGTGTTTTCTGTTGTTACAACAAATAATATCGCTCATGTAATTTTATTTTGAAGATGAGAAGGATACCATTCAGTGACAAACAATCCTCTTATCTTTTGACCTCTTCATGATCATGACCATAATATTTGCAGAAACTGTAGCCTAATGTATGGCTGTTTAACTTTGTGTAACAAAAGTTTCCATCTTGCTGTCTTTCACTAGGCTTTAGACATGCTTTGTATATCTTCTACTTTTTTTTGCTTTTTCACTATATTGATACACTGATGAAAAATTTTTCTTCATTTAAAGTCCATATCATTATAACCACTTCCTTATGAGAGTCCTTCATAAGTAGTCAAAACTTAAATCTTGAAGTAAAAAGAAAGTTAAGAGCTAGTGTTCCTGATGGAGAATGTTTTATAGTCACATGTGGAACATGTGAGAATTGTAGTTAAATTTAAACATAAATTATATGTTTCCTTCTTTACCACCTGCATTAGTCATTTTGCATAGAGTTGAAAAACAAAATATGGGCTCAGTAAGAAATGTCCATCATTCTCCTGAGTTCCTGGGTAAGGACAGTAAAGCAAGATGAAACTAATATACAGGTATGTGCTCAAAACCCATTTCTAAAGCAAATGACAGTGTTTTGTTATGTTCTTTGCTAAAATAAGCATGGAGTAAAAATATATAGGAAATTAAAAGATAATGATGCAAACTACTGCTTAGTTTAGTTTTTTTCTTGTTAAACTTCCATAATAGAGAATATTAAATTATGTGAATGTTAAAGGAAAAAGTGGCTTGATTACCTATCAGTGATGAATGGACTTTAAATAAGGGAGTGCAGAAGAACCTGTTCTCTGCACAGGCTGGACTTATTTGCTCATTATAGCAAGTGTGGTTATGGACCTGACCTATGGTAGTTGTAACATAGAGATAATTTGGCCACAAACAATCTGGAAGAATTTATATTTTTCAAAACACCAGCATATATTTTCAGAAACAGAAAACCAAGCTTTGTTAATATTGCAGACCTTGTCCTACCCATTCATAATACTGAAAGAGGCACAATATAGCAGTGATTTATGGGATCTTGTATGTTCTATCTTAACAGCCTTTATTGACATTTATGAGGAAAATTTAGTCACTGAAATCCTAACATTAGTTTGCCAAAAGCCAATGTCATTATTAGAATATTAAAAAACTAGTTTATTTATAACTTAAATTACAGTCTTTGAAATTGAGATTTTAAAATATGTAAAATCACATTTTTAAATCACATGACCCCTTGAGAGGTATTACTGATTAAATAAAAATCTCAATAGGAAATGATTTAAAATAGTGATACCCAATACATCTATAGAATTTTTAGATTGACCCATGAAATAAGCAGTTGAAAATTGCAGTATATCTGTGTGTGTGTGTGTGTGTGTGTGTGTGTATACATGTATTACCATTTTGCTTTTGCCATTAGCAGATATTTTCTTTCTCAGGTGAAACAATTGAAGTCAAACTGACCAGACCAGTTTCTTTTAGCTTTCCTTGTCCAATCTAATCTGTATGCTGTATGTGCTTTAGCTAAATGCAAGGACTTTTCAACCATAATGAATTATTAATAGGCTATATTCTGGTTATTTCATTGAGTATACACCTGCCTTAATTGTTAATACAGGCTTGTATTCTTGTTTTAGTCTCATGTCTGTGTTAAATAAACAAGGGACAGATAAAATCTCTTTTTGGTCGGAGGAAATAATTTAGGTCAATAGCATATCTTTCAATTCAGAAGACTGTTAATGGCACCAAAGAGGCTTTTATTCAACTAAATAATCAGTGTCTGTAAATATTCTGTTGAATGAATATTTAAGAAAGCTCTTCTCTATTTGGAGATTCATGGATTCCTCTGAAATAATTTGCTTGGATACTGTCATTATCTTTTTGTGTTTTGTAGTATCCTGTTCAATTTAGGGCTCTTATTAGGATTTCAATAATATTTTAGTTTTCTTTTTAAAGTACTAGCTGGAAAATAGAACACATATTGATAATAACTGCTATCAGATTAAAGGTTTTATTGTGGATTAATTAGTTCTTTTTTGGACATTGCTTTGGACATTTAAGTGTAGGACTCTGATAACAATGATTTGATTTATATTAGGGTTTTGGCATAAAATTATGTTCAGAAGTATGATTTCAGTTCTTGGTTTCTTAAACACCATCCTGCCTCTCAGAAATTCTATCTCTTATCTATTAGGAAAGCTCAAAGTTTCTGTTTTTTGAACTGTTTTATCCTTATGAATATATGCACGTTTAGATATAAACTGCTTCTATGTCATTATATTATATTATATTAATTATATTATATTATTATATTACAAATGCTAGGATGGCCTAGAAAACTAGAATTATAAGCAATCTCTTCTCTGTAATTTTCAAGTATACTATAAAACAATATTATAAACCTTAAAATCATAACGATATAAAATGCTCCAGTTTTCAACCTACAATTCATTTCTTAACTTAATGCATGGCTTTAAATGCAACATTTATATCCTAAAACACCTTGTTTCAACCTTAATATTATATCCATTATAACAGGAAAAAAAAGCATTATTTGGAAAAAAATTCAATTTTCTGTTGATATGTTTTTTGAGTGACTGTGGGCTGGTAAAATATCTGATGCCTGGATGCACTTAATTTTATGTTACTTGATATTTAGCTTATATATGCCCATTGCAGTACATTTTTAAAAACATCTTCAAACAGTAGTAATTATTTAGGAATCCTTATTTCGAGACTTCACACATTTTTGAAATATGGTAGAAATTAATACTGGTATATTTCTTTTAGACTCTAGATCTGAAGTATTAAAGTGTACATAGAGTTAGCTATTTACTAATTTGCTAAACACTTCTGTGAAAAGCTTCTGATTACTAATAACTGTTGCTGTTTGTTTTTTGTTTCTTTTACACTGTAACTACTCTCCGTTGACTACTGCATGCAGATAGTTGGAAGTAAAGTTAC